ACACAGACACAGCACACATAGTAAAACAGCACACAGTTAACCCTTTGATCGCCCACATTATTATTATACAGTATTTATAAAGCGCCAATAGTTCGCTCAGCGCTGTACATTACAAAGGGGGACAGAACATGCGACAGTACAGTAACAATACAATGTGATACACGAGGGGTTCAAGGGCCCTACTCTTTCGAGCCTACAGTCTAGGATGTTAACCCCTTCCTGCCCAGTGCCATTAGCACAGTGTCAGCGTCACTGTATTGGTGTCACTGGGGATGTCAGTGACACCAAGTCAATTCCCCCCCAATGTCAGAATGCCCACCGCAGTCCCGCTATAAGTCGCTGATCGCCGCCATTACTAGTAAGAAAAAAATTCCATATATATACCGCCATTTGTAAACACTATAACTTTCACGTAAACCAATTACTTTACACATATTGGGATTTTATTTTTAGCAAACACATGTAGCAGAATACATTTTGGCCTAAATTTATGACGAAATTTAATTTTTGAATTTTTTTACTGGACATGTTTAATAGCAAAAAGTCAAAAATATAGTTTTTTTTTTTTTTTCAAAATTGTCGGTCTTTTTTTGTTTATAGCGCAAAAAAATTAAAAATGCAGAAATGATCAAATACCACCAAAAGAAAGCTCTATTTGTGGAAAAAAAAGGACGTTAATTTCATTTGGGTGCAGCATTGCAGGACAGCGCAATTGTCAGTTAAAGTAACGCAGCGCCGTATTGCAAAAAAATTTCTGGTCAGGAAGGGGGAGGGGGGGGGAATCCTCTGGAGGTCAAGTGGTTAAAATGAATGTTAATTTGACCCCACTAACCATTAGAAAATTTAATGAATATTCAGAAAAATAAACTTTTTTGACCAAAATTCTACTGGTATATGGCCAGCTTTAGAGGAAATATCCCCCAAGAATTTAGTTAAAAAACTTTAGAAGTTCTAAGCTTTCCCCACTCTAAGTTGGAGTTGGACTTCAAATCTTCAAGAAAACAACTAATGGTTTAAACAGCTAATAAGAAAAAGGTGAAACATAGTAAAGAAATCTGTTTTATTCTTTAGAAGGAAATGTAAGCAGAAAGCTGGTAAATATATACAAGTTGCATGAATTGACCTCATTAGCCTAAAAACCTTTTCCCATTCTGTACCCCTGATGTCACCCCCAACACTCGTCTCATAAGAATGTTACTATTCCATTCTTGCTAAGGGTGTGTGGTTAGGGGTGCCTGGTACAAACTTCCATCTTGCTTAAAATTTGTTTTAAATGTTTATTTGTTAAGATCATCAGATACAGCCAATGCGTTTTGTGGTATGATGCTTCCTTCTTCAGGGCTTAACTGCCTCCCGCCCGCCATATAGTCCAATGACGGTGGTTCTCTCGTTCTGGGAGGATGTCATATGACGTCCTACCGTTCTCACTGCGCATGCGCGGCTCAGGGAGCGCGCAGCGTGGCAATCGGCAGTGCGCTGTGTCCCTCTGATCACCGATCCACGGAAAGAGCCCAAGTTGTCGGCTCGGTCATGTAATCAGCTGTGTCCAATCACAGCTGATCACATGTAAACAGGGAAATGCCGGTTATCTGCATTTCTCTCCTCATGAGCTGTGACGCTGACAGAGGAGAGGAGAGCCGGTGATCGGCATTCCGCAGAGGGGACATCTACACTGATTATCAGTGCACTGATGATCAGTGTGCCCTGATGATCAGTGTAGCCCCAGCAGTGCCACCTGTCAGTGTCCATCAGTGCCAGCTGTCAGTGCTCATCAGTGCCACGTGCCAGTGCCCATCAGTGCCACACAATGCCACATATCAGTGCCTACCAGTGCACATCAATGCCACATATCAGTGTCCATCTGAGCTGCCTTTCAGTGTCACCCATCACTGCCAGTCAGTGCCACCTATCAATGCCAATAAGTGCCACCTATCAGGGCTGCCAATCAGTGCCGCCTATCAGTGCCAGTCAGTGCCGCCTATCGGTGCGCATCAGTGCTGCCTATCGGTGCCCATCAGTGCCGCCTATCAGTGCCAGTCAGTGCTGCCTAACAGTGCCAGCCAGTGCTGCCTAACAGTGCCAGTCAGTGCCGCCTATCAGTGCCAGTCAGTGCCATATATCAGTGCTGCCTTTCAGTGCCCATCAATGATGCCTGTCAATGCCCATCAGTGCCTCCTCATCAGTGCCCATCAGTGCCACCTATCAGTGTCCATCAGTGCAGCCTATCATTGCCCATCACTGCAGCCTCATTAGCGCACATCAGTGAAGGAGAAAAATCACTTATTTACAAAATTTTATAACAAAAACTAAGAAAAACATTTTTTGTTTTCAAAATTTTAAGTGGTTTTTGGTTTGTTTAAGAAAAAATTAAAATCCCAGAGGTGATTAAATACCACCAAAATAAAGCTCTATCTGTCACAAAAAAAAGATAAAAATTACATATGGGTACAGTGCTGCATGACAACACAATTGTCAGTGATAGTGTTGTGAGACCGTGCAATTGTCAGTGATAGTGTTGTGAGACAGCGCAATTGTCAGTGATAGTGTTGTGAGACAGCGCAATTGTCAGTGATAGTGTTGTGAGACAGCGCAATTGTCAGTGATAGTGTTGTGAGACAGCGCAATTGTCAGTGATAGTGTTGTGAGACAGCGCAATTGTCAGTGATAGTGTTGTGAGACAGCGCAATTGTCAGTGATAGTGTTGTGAGACCGCGCAATTGTCAGTGATAGTGTTGTGAGACAGCGCAATTGTCAGTGATAGTGTTGTGAGACAGCGCAATTGTCAGTGATAGTGTTGTGAGACAGCGCAATTGTCAGTGATAGTGTTGTGAGACCGCGCAATTGTCAGTGATAGTGTTGTGAGACAGCGCAATTGTCAGTGATAGTGTTGTGAGACCGCGCAATTGTCAGTGATAGTGTTGTGAGACAGCGCAATTGTCAGTGATAGTGTTGTGAGACCGCGCAATTGTCAGTGATAGTGTTGTGAGACAGCGCAATTGTCAGTGATAGTGTTGTGAGACCGCGCAATTGTCAGTGATAGTGTTGTGAGACAGCGCAATTGTCAGGGATAGTGTTGTGAGACCGCGCAATTGTCAGTGTTAGTGTTGCATGGACAGTGAGGCTCTGGACAGCATCTGGATATGGAACAGTTAAAAAACGCAAACGCATATAAACGCGGTTAGCCACGTTTACACGAGTTTACAAGCGTTTGGCGTTTGGAATGCCGGTAAAATCTACTCCTGAACGCAAGTTTGGTGCATTCAAATAAAACGACTGTAAACTCAACTGTCTGTAAATGACTGTAGTGTACATGGACACATAGGAAAACATTAGGGGGAGTTCAGGGGCTGCTGAAAAAAAACGCAGAAAAGCTCCTGAACGTCATTTTATCAGCTGAGCCCTTAACCACTTCCCGACCGGCCGTTGTATATAAATGGCCGGACGGTGGCACTGCAGGGTCGGGTGGCCGTCTATAAACGGCCTCCCCGCACCCTGCTTGTGCGCGCTCCCTGGGAGCGCGCAGCACCGCGATCCGGTGCCCGCTGTGTCCTCCGGACACAGTGAAACACCGATCGTCGGACGGGACCTCTGTACGAGGTCCCGATCATGTGATCACTGATTGGCCAATCAGTGATCACATGCAAAGTAGTAAGCAAGATGTCACTTGTGACATCATTGCTTACTATGTGTGAAATCTGTGAATGATCACAGAGGTCACATGGTACAAGGCTATTCACAACAGCCTTGTACCATGTGACAAGCTGTGACCAATCACAGCTCACTCAGTACTTCTCAATGAGTGCAAGAATGCAGACAGAGAGAAAGAGAAATGATTGCTTTTACATCCTATATGGGTGTAAAAGCAATCAGTGTAAAAAAAAAAAAAAAAAAAAAATCTTTATCACCCCTCACAAGTAGTACAGTGTCACCATGGTGACACTGTACTGCTAGGGTGACAGTATGTAAAAAAAAAAATAAAAAATAATAATATAAAAAAATAAAATAAAAATGTAAAAAAAAATGTTTAAAAATTATAATTTTTGCTTATAAACTAATTTGGATTTTTTTTTTTTTTTACTAAAAAGATAACGGAATAAATTTTGCCTAAGATTTATGATGAAATATTATTTATTTGCAAAATTTTAAAAAAAAAAAAACACTTTTTTAAAAAATTTTTGGACATTTCATTTACATAGCAAAAAAAATACAAATCCCAGTGCTGAATAAATACCACCAAAATAAAGCTTTATCTATCTAAAAAAAATGATAAAAAATTCATTTGGGTACAGTGTTGCATGACCGCGCAATTGTCATTCAAAGTGTGATAGCGCTAAAAGCTGAAAATTGCCCTGGTCAGGAAGGGGGTAAAAGTGTCCGGTCTGGAAGTGGTTAAACAGAAAATGGTGATGTAATCAGGATGAAATTATTTAGGGAGCCTAATACTGAGGCTGGATTTAAGCTAGTGTATAGGCAGGTGCAGCTATCTAGTTTGCCACTAGGTGGCTCTGACCCACAATAGAGTGTGTGGTTACAGTGAATGGTGTAATCAGGTGCTAGGTCCCTTTTAGTTAGAGCCCTTCTGTAGGGATGTAATGGGTGAGTCAGAACCCACATATAAGCAAGGTTGGGAGGAGCCCTAGTATAGTTAGAGCATGGGAGCCAATGACCCCACCATCAGGCAGATGTAGTTAGCAAGTGGAGGCCGAGGACAGGGAGAGATAGACCTGCTCCCAGAAGAGCCGGCTGTACCTCTGACCAGGGGCGGACTGACCATTCAAGCACTCGGACACTGCCCAAGTGCCCGGGGTCAGTAGGGGGCCCCATGAAATGCCCCTGGTACCTTTTTTTATAGGCTTTTTTGAGTATGGGCAAGGACATAGGGGCCCCATGATCCCCTATTGCCCGGGGCCCCATGAGTTGTCAGTCCACCCCTGACCCCTATAGCGGTGAAGGCAAGGTCAGGCTGCAAAAGACCTTTTAAGCCAGGCCAAGTGTTCCCTGGAGCAGGGGCAGACTGACCATTTGGAAACTCGGGCACTGCCCGAGGGCCCGGGGTCAGTAGGGGGCCCCATGAGATGCCCCTGGTACCTTTTTCATAGGCTTTTTTGAGTTTGGGCAAGGGCACAGGGGCCCCATGATCCCCTATTGCCCGGGGGCCCCATGAGTTGTAAGTCCGCCCCTGCCCTGGAGTGAGGCTATTCCCCAAGAGGACCTGGGGGAGAGGGTCTCCAATGATCCTAACTCGATGGGACTACCTATAAGGAACAGTGAGTGGACCCAAACAGCTAAGGTGAACCAGAACCTCTGAGTGAGTACTAATGACCCTGGGTGGAGAGAATCCTATAAAAGTGTATATAGATCGTGCTGCCAAACAAATGTTAATCAAAATTACTAAACAGTTTGCCACATGAGAAAATGCAAAAAATTAATGAACAACACCAGATAATATAATTAAATAAATATTGTGCTATGTGAAACAGTAAACTTCATACAACACGAAGACCTTCATACCTATGAAAAGCAATCAAAAACAATAAAAATCGAATAAATAAATAACTGGAATAATATTGTGTAAATTTCAATAATCATATGCATACATATGAAGACACTCAAACTGTGAAATGTGATCAAATAAAAAAAAAAACAGAGACATATTGTCCATATATACATATAATAAAGTCCATATGAAGACGGAACTCCACAATCAGTGATAATGCTGTATATTAATGCTGTAGGCGCAATATGAGTAGTCTGGCTTCAAATATTCACCAACGTGTCCACCACCACTTAACCACTTGCCCTCCTGAGGATTTACCCCCCTTAATGACCAGGCCTCTTTTTGCTACTCGGCGCTGCCCTAATTCAACTAGTAATTGCGCAGTCATGCAATGCTGCACCCAAACGAAATTTACATCCTTTTTTTCACACAAATAGAGCTTTCTTTTGGTGTAATTTGATCACCTGTGCGCTTTTTTGTTTTCACGCTATAAACAAAAAAAGGCCAAAAATTTTGAAGAAAAACAATATTTTTTATTTTCAGCTATAAAAAATATATAGTAAACTCAAAGTTGGTTATAAATTTAGGCCAAAATGTATTCTGCTACATGTTTTTGGTAAAAAATCCCAATAAGTGTATATTGATTGCTTTGTGTGGAAGTTATAGCGTCTACAAACTATGGTATAGATACTGCAATTTACGCCATTTTTCTGCTATACAGCGCTGTGCTAGTTTAACGGACAATTGTGCGGTCATGCAATATGGTACATAAATGAAATTTACATCCTTTTTTTCCCCACAAATTGAGCTTTCTTTCGATGGTATTTGATGGCCTGTGCGGTTTTATTTTTTGCGCTATAAAAAAAAAAGTCTGACAATTTTGAGGAAAAAAAAACAATATTTTGGACTTTTTGCTATAAAACATGTCCAGTAAAAAAATGCAAAAATCAAATTTAGTCATAAATTTTTGCCAAAATGCATTCTGCAACATATCTTTGCTAAAAAAAAAAACCCAATACGTGTAAATTAATTGGTTTACGTGAAAGTTATAGCGTTCACAAATGGCGGGAAAGATACTGGGATTTTTAGGTTTTTTTTTCTACTAATAATGGCGGCGATCAGCGAATTATGGTGGCGATCAGGGACTTATGGCAGTGACCAGCGACTTATGGCGGGACTGCGGCGGACATTCTGACATTGGGGGGTACTGACTTGGGGTCACTGACATCCCCAAAAACACTAATACAGTGATCAGTGCAAAAAAAAAAACTGACACTGTACTAATGGCACTGGGGAGGAAGGGGTTAACTTTATTTTGCAGGGAAGGGTTATAGGAGTGAGGGGGGAGTGTTTTACTAGGGGGCGGGGGTGTGTACTGGGGGGGACAAGGCTGATCGAGAAAGAGAAACTGTTCTTTCTCGATCAGCTCATCCTCGAGCTGACAGGGAAGTGACAGACAGCACAGCTACTGCAGCTGTGCTCTCTGTCACTGTTTGCCGCCAATCGCCGGGACATAGCCGCTAAGGAGCGGCTGTGACCCGGCGACTGACATCTGCGGCGGTGATCCGCAGGACAGATAGGGCGGCGGCACGCCTCGCGCGCGGCCCCTATTTGTTTACAAAACACGCGTTTTAAAACGTGGTTTTGCCTGCGAGTGCTGCCCTGCCGCCGTATATGTACAGTGGCAGGGCGGCAAGTGGTTAATGATTAAATGGAGGCTGGTTGAGACCCCTTAATTATAGGGGGTCTCAACCAGCATTGCAGTGTAAGATATTAGCAGGTTCTCCATGTCATGCCCGGAACAGGGATCTTCCAAACCTCCACCCCCATAATATGAACTCCAAAACGGTGCTGGTGGGTACAGGTCCGATGACCAGGATGAAGGGAATGGTGAAGCTGAGCACCCCGGAGGAGAAGACAAGGTTGTTATTGTTATTACTGCCCCATTTTGTGGCCCCCGGGATTGCACCAGAACACCAGATAATACAAATAATGTCTGATGTATCAGTAAGTCCCATTCAAATGATAATTGCTTGAAAACCAAAATATAGGTGAACAGGTGCTGGTGCCATTAGTAACAGAAAACACAGGTGACCAGTTCCAGGTGACCCCCACATGGACTTGCACTCACCACAATGGATGGACCTTCTATTACTAGATGGGTCTCACTGCACATTTTTTGGTTGGACCAACTGTGTGTCTTGTCACCAACCTGACCATTCATATGCACCAGGAATGTGATTCCTTCCCACGCAATACACTGCCACTCAACAAACAGTATCAGGAAAAGGGTTCATTGTGCAGAGCTGATAAAAAAGCATGAGCAAATGAATGCTGAAATTCCTGCGCTGGACGATGAGCTCCACAATGTCAGGAACCCCACAAGGAGTACTTTTTGGGAATGCAAGCCTTGCTGTCCTCAACGGAGCAGGGAAATCCAAAGAAATAGAGGACGCACGGGCCTAGTGCATTACCTTCTAAAAATGAGATTTATTGAATAAAAAGTCATATACTCACAAAAGAATAAAATCAAAGGCACATCACAAAAAAGACAGCATGGTCCAATCTCCCTAGATGGTGGCTGTTGGGGGACTGTAGGCCTCCAAATGGCTGATGTGTTTCGAGACAGAACCTCTTCCTCAGAGCCAACTCATTGTGCAAAGCAGCCGACTTTGTTCAATCATATAAAACCTAACAATAACACCGCAACGGGTACATACAGCGCTTGTGGTTAAGATGGCTGTTGCCGCCAGGAGCTGGCTTGTACTTCAAGGATGGGATGTGATGTATTGGTTGGGGAACAGTGCTTCAACTAATTTTGTCTGTAATTGGACATCGTCAGGAAGCCGTACGAACCCTTTGGTGAAGAGAGACTGGGTCAGGGGAGATGGCTTAATAAAATGTGCTGCTTTCACATGTGACTACTGCAGATCATCCACTATACGTGATTGACAATGTACTGTCAAGTGAATTCAGATAGTATGTCAAAGTGATGTGATTGTGAACGCCATCTTTAAATTAACCTCAGTAAAGTGAGGCAATTCTATTTTTGTGTGGACATGCCTTCCTTAGGCATTTAAAGGCAAATGGCTAGGATCCTCATGAGGAGGCCTCTGGCACAGAGAGGGGCACAAGATGGCGGAGGGCAGGGGCGGACTGACAATTTGGAAACTCGGGCACTGCCTGAGGGCCCGGGGTCAGTAGGGGGCCCCATGAGATGCCCCTGGTACCTTTTTCATAGGCTTTTTGGAGTTTGGGCAAGGACACAGTGGCCCCATGATCCCCTATTACCCGGGGGCCCCATGAGTTGTCAGTCCGCCCCTGCCCTGGAGTGAGGCTACTACCCAAGAGGACCTGGGGGGAGGGCATCTGAAGGCGTCTCCAATGATCCTAACTCGATGGAACTACCATGAGTTGTCAGTCCGCCCCTGGCGGAGGGTTAAATCTTCAACCAGGTAGGATGATGATCTGGAAGGAAAGAGGTGGGGCAGGGACTTGTGCTCTTGAGGCCAATACTAGCCACTCAAGCCCCCCCCCCCCTACAAGAGCATCCCACCAGTATGGTAAATAGTCAGTTTACTGCTTCAACCCAGCCTCGATTCCACACTCCCTTGTATGATTTCATCCTGATTGTAACGAAGATCGTTGCTCAAGCCCTGAAGGAGCACACTGGTTGCATCTGGTGCTTTTAACAATTAAATATTTTAAATGAATTTCAAGTGAAATGGAAGTTTGTACTGTGTCCTCCTAACCACACACTTGGAAGTTGTTCATCTGTTGAGCGATTCGACCATAATCAGAGTGACAGCAACCTGGGTCATAACTGGGTGCTTACGTATGTTGAACTCCAGCAAGAAAAACACGCTTCATTCTTTATTCATTAGAAGCATTCATTCATTTATTCATTAAAATCAATCATTCATTTATTCATTAAAATCAGTCTCTGCTCTCCTCGGTCCAGCGCTATCACACACCTACCAGACCTTTCCTAATATGGGGAAATTAGAGTGCAGTAAGCAAATACTGACTTATTATTGAAGCGTTTGCTCTAAATTAATACTTAGTGGTTGTAAAGGCTTGAGGTTTTTTATTTTATGCACGAAGGTAAAAAACTTTCTGTGTGCTTCCCCCAAATACCTACCTGAGCTCCATCATGATCCAGTGATGTACATGAGAGCCTTGGCTCTCTGAGGACTCTCCCTTCTCATTGGCTAAGATTGGCCAGTGAGCCAAAGAGAGGAGAAAGGGGGTGGGGCCAAGCAGTGGCTCTATGTGTAAATGGACATGCAGAGCAGCGCCTCAAGAGTGAGCCTGCTTGGGTGCCCCCATAGCAAGCTGCTTACTCTGGGGGCATTTGGCAGGAGAGAAGGACCTGAGAAGAAGAGGATCAGGGCAGCTCTGTGCAAAACCACTGTACAGAACAGGTAAGTATAACGTTTTTTTTTAAATTATTACTATTGCTTTTGACCACCTCCTGCCCACCATATAAGGAAATGACGGGAGCAAGGTGGTTCTTTCATTCTGAGAGGACGTCATATGACATCCTCCCACTCTAACCGCACTTGCAGGACGCAGCGCGGCGATCGGTGGTGTGCATCACCGTTCAGCGGAAAGAGCCGATGACTTGGCTCTGTCATGTGATCAGCTGTGTCCACTCACAGCTGATTGCATGTAAATAAGGAAATGCCGGTTATCTGCATTTCTCTCCTCCTGAGCTGTCACGCTGACAGAGGAGAGGAG